CTGTCTCTGTAGCTAGGAGGGAGTTTGGTGAGTAACCTGTCTACATGTGAACCACAGTGGAGGTCACTGGCTGCTACATCATCCGTAGTACCGAGGAGACCTACAATGCTAGACACTGCCAGGGAGAAATCTTCAAAGGCTTGAGGGTCACCAACCATCAAGTTCACTCTGGATTAACTGTTTAGGCTGCCCATAACTCTGTTCTAAGGCAATAATTTCACTAGTGTAGGGAATGCGGTCATGAATATAACGCCTTGCAACTTGTAGAGGACATGGATGCTCTAAATGATCCAGCAGGATCTGATATTTATATTCCTCTGTGAGGTGTGCATGAGGCCCTAGTAGGCTATCCAATCCTTTCTTCAAAAGCAAATTCACTTTCTTGGCCTGATTTGAATGTGACCAGTCTAGGCTTTGGGATGCTGTATGATGATGCCACAATCATCTCCATCAGGTTTGGCTGGTTGACTTCTTCTGTCAAAGGTAGTGGGGCTGTTGCCTGGTATGCACCTGGAGGTGTTGGATAGGCCGCAGAGTAATGGCTGGGAAAATCAGTAGGCGGAGCAGCATAATGCTGGCTGTATTCTGCTGTGCTGCCACTCCCTGTGGTGGCTGATACAGAGGCGTAGCAGAGGCCGCAGCAAGGTTGTATGATGGTGCAGAGTGCACCTGGTTGGTACTGCTTGACTGAATAGAGGCTCAGCATGATGTGGTTCAAGCTTCTGAAGCTGCTTAGATTCTGATTCTTGGATGTCAGGTTGTAGAGCAGGCTGTATCATGTCTCACTCTAGGAGGCGGAGCTGGTAATGATGCTGGCTGGATTCCTGGATAAACCGGATGGCCTCTCAGCTGTTGAACAGGTAATGGTAAAGACTGACCTACTGGCTGGAAGGCCGTGTCTATAGGTGGTAGCTGAAACGCATGCTGAGGTGCTTCAAGTACATCTGGCTGTGGAACTGGCCATGGTGCTGTCTGTACCGTGGGGCTTGCCTTTAGCGATGATAAGGATGCAGCAGGTTCTACTGGTCTTAGTAGGTTTGCAGGTGTTCTGTTGTCCTGCCTTGCTGGTGCCAGGATGTTCAACTGATCCCTGGTGTCACTGCTGTGTATATCCACACTGCTACTGTGGTAGGAATGCAGGAAGGGATTCTGCTTTTATGCTGCTTATGTTGTTAAGCGTGACGGTGGGGCATGAGAGGGCTGCATGACCTATGTGTGCTGTAGTTACTCCACACACTTGGTTAATGCACCACTGGTCTCCTTCATGGTAACTTGCATCTCATTCATTGCTTCTAAAACACTGTCCCATACTGCCTCCATCTTGTCCCATCTTCGTTTCTTATCCTTAAAAGATTCTTCTGAGCTGCTGCTTGTTGATGACTCTGACTCCTCCGGATCAGGTAGGTCATGCTCATACTCCTCCAGATGTCCCAGAAGCTTCCTGCTCCTGCGTGGACGGGGACTATTTTAATGACTTTTCTCCTGAGGAATGTTGTCTTGTGAAGTTGTCATGTTTTTGATTTGACCAATGAGATCCGGCTCAAAGGACCACTTGTAGAAGACTGTGTACGTTTAAATTGCACTAATTCCAGATATCTTATCAGTTGAATCTTCCTCGGTCAGAAGGAATATGTCAACTCCATCGGTGCAGCTCAGAAGGTTTATTAATGGAATAGAAGCAGGTACATTGGAGATGATGGTACAGATGATGAGGTTTATATTTGGTTTTTTAGGAATATGTATATGGATGCGTGGTTATCTGAAACAGAATACACAATAAAGATACATATTTATAGCCATGCAGGCAAAACGGGTGCATATAGATGCAGGATGAAATTGGCTTGTAATACCAAAGAAATCCACTGAAGGGCGCCATAACATCAAACATGCATTATTGGTCAAACGTAATAAACATTTAAGTGACAAACCGTTGGAAAATATGAAATGAACGGTAATGCCCTCATTAACTAATAAAATCTACTAATAAAAGTGTAACAAAGAACTTGACTTATCATAAGTATACTCTTGCATTGTCAGTAACCAGAGAAACTAAAGGACAATTTAACCTCCTGGGATAATAACTGACAGAAAAGCATAATATCTGACCTAAAATACATACTTACATCGTAAAAACGCACACAGGTTTCATACACACTTGATTAAAGAAGGATTAATGGTGGATGCTATTTTGTGCCATGAACCACCCAGAAGCATGGAAAACACAACTTGTTCAGCCACGTGAAATTA